GCCATCCGGCGCCGGCCCGCCTCCCCGCCTTCTGTTTACTTTATTCAACCAATGACCGGTCGGACGCTCCCCGCGCCGTCTTCCCATTAGTCAGTCTCTTCATTATCCCCGCCCCTTGAGTCGGGATTTGCTCAAAGGAGCCGAGAGCGAGGGACTTAATACGTCATCTCTTCCCGGCTGGTCTGCGGGTGGGGCTAGCCCCAGGTTCGAATTTCTGGGCCTTCGTAGGACATAGAACTGCCAATTAGGGCCGAGCCCCCGCTGGGACGACGGAGGTGGGGCCTCTCGGTCACGCCTTGGAGGCCGGATGTTTGATTGGATGGGGAAAATGTCAATTATCCTCTGTAGTGCACGGTCATTGGCCTAGCAAAGGGGAGTGTGGCCGCGTCGTTCGGGCCCGCCTTCACTTTTCTGGGGTTTGTTGGGGGCGCCAAAGATATCCTGGGCCCCTGAGGAGTCCCTCCGACTTGCTTGGGTCGGGTGTCTGGCCGTATTTCCGTGGGTCGGTCCATCTTGGAACGCACGTATCGGAAACTGGAGAGACCCAGAGGAGGCTGGCGGCCTCCCCAGCAGTCCGGACGCTCGGGTCCGGCAGCCACAGGCGCCCCCGTCCCGCCCTCGCGGCCGGATGTTGTGATTTTTCTCCACCCACTCGGCCTCGCCCGCCCTCGGCCTCTGCTGCCTTATAAGGCAGCACTACTAATCCAAGACGTTGGTGTGAGCTCACACCCATTTTACAGGTGGGGAGCTGGGGGCCGGTGGCTCGGTCCCCGCCGGATGCTAGAGCGAGCATACGCTGAAATTTTACAGCCAATCAACACCTTCTGACCCAACAGCTATTTCACACACCAGGAAATCGAGGCTTGCCCAAACGCAGCGAGTAAGGCAGATTCAACCAGGTTTCTCTGAGCCCTATCCATACATTCATCCGAAAATACAGAACATTCGCTTTGTGCTTGGCACGGAGCCAGGTGCCGGGCAATATAGAGGTGTCAGCAGATAACCTGCTTACACTGAAGAGCTTTATAAGAGATAAATAAACAGAATGGTCTCAGGAAAACAAGTCCTATTAAGACAGGACAATGAGGGGGTAAGTATCAGTGTATGATATCTGAGCAGTTCCAGCCACACAAAAATCTGGAGGAACTGCGTTCCAAGCTGAGGCAACAGCCAAGTGCTGAGACTGATCTAGAACAGATTTGGTGCATTCATGGGACAAGCAGAAGGTGCATTTATATAAGTTCAGGGCCCATGGTCTGGGAGGACATGAAGGAACAAGAGCAGCTCTTGCATCACAAAAGGCTTTGTAGACCACAGCAAGTGAAATATGAAATCCTTGAAAGGATGATTTATACTTCAAAAAGGTAATTCTTGGCCCTCCCTGGTGGCGCAGCGGGTTAAAGCACTGCACAAAGAAGCTTAAGCCACTTCCACATGAGTTCGATCCCTGCCTGCCCCGGAGGTGACCACATGGCGAGGCAGACCTCTCCTGACCCACCCGCTGCTCCCCTCAGCAATGTACTTCGTAGATCTGCCTGTTCTGCTCCCCATTCTATCTCTGGTGAATCCTCTCACCCTCTGCATCTCTGGCTTGTACCCCAGTTCTGTACGAATAAATAAATAAATCTTTTTTTAAAAAAAAAAGGTAATTCTTGTTAGTGGACTTTAGGGAGCCAAGAGTTGAAGGTGAGAGTGCAGTTAGGAGGCTACATAATTCCAGGAAAGAGGAATGGGTGTTTGGATCAACAAGGTGATGGTGGTGGTGGTGGTGGGGGTTCTTGATGGCCTAGAGGTTAAGTCTCACCATTATCAGCACTGTGGCCTGGGTTTGAGTCCTGGCCAGCACATAAGATGCAGCTCCCCTTAACAGTGTTCCTCTCACCTCTGGCACCTCTGGCCTACACCCCAGTTCTTATGCACAATAAATAAATCTTTAAAAGAAAAGTGACAGTGGAGATGAATATAGGATACATTTGGGAGTAAAGAGAAGTACCTTGAAAGAGGGAAACTCAGTGGTCAGTAGAACAAGGGGCAGATACCTCATTTAATGGAAGCTTTGCATCTAAGCGTAGCCTGAGGGTGAATTGAGAATGTACAGACTTGGGTAGTTGGAGTGGGCGGGGAGATGTTAAAGCTGTGTAGAGGAAGGGCTGATGCTTCAACCCTGCAGGCAAAGCACTGGGATAGGTTTTTAGGGGCACATTAGGGTGAATATGGGAGCAAGGAATGAGACAGAAGGGCCTAGATCTGGGAGGCTGGCGGCCAAATAAGAAATCTGAAACTTCAATTTGAGGATAGTGGGGAGCTGTCAAGGGTGTTTAAAGCCAGGAAGTAGTGTGATTAGATTTGCTTACACAGGAGACTCTTGGCTAGGGATAGGGAGCTGAGGCTGAGAGACAGTGACTTACTTAGATTGACTTGCAGACACTATTTTGGTGCCCAGGACCTGACCATTCCTCCAGTATGTGAAGAAACCTGTGAAATGCAAAGATGGTCCTGCCTTCCACTAGAAAAAGCAAAGAACAAGAACAAGTTTTTCTTCAGGAATGCTGGTAGCTGGAGCATGTCTTCAGTGTCACCAATCAGGCCTTTGAATCCGCATCTAACACATTTCACACTCATTATGGAGGCAGTGGAAGGGGAGGGGTTGGGGGATTCAGCAAGCACCCAGAAGCTATCCAGTCACTTCCTCCTCCTAAGCTACCCAGAATTGGCTTCCTTGTTTGCAACCAAGCGTCCTGAGCAAGTCAGGCAGGAGTCATTTTAGGAAGAAGGGTGTAGACAAGAGGCTGGACTGAATGCTATGGTGAAACTGGGAAGAACAGGTGATTCATACAGGGTGAGGAAAGGAAGGTGCCATAGGCAACTCTCAGGTTCTGGCTCTTCAACCCATGGCTCACCTATAGCCAAAGTGATCTTTACTAGAGGGGAAATCTGCCATGCATTTCTAGGAATTTATCCTACAAACAAAGTCACCCTCAAACAAATAAAAGTTCAAGGTTATTCATTACAGCATTGTGAAAGGCATTGTCTTTCATAGAAACTTCATTAATTAAATTTGGTCCACTTTTATATAGAAATACTATGTGGCTATCTCTTCTAAAAAGTATGCAGGTGCTCTTCCTGTGCTAATATAAACAGTCTTCAAGATATATTGCTAAACTGGAAAAAAAAAAGTGCAGCGGGGAGTGTAAGTTTTCTTATTGTGCCTGTAAATAGGGTCAGGAGAGTAGTGTTAGGTTGTGCTGCAGTAACACATTTCAGTGATCTTAAAACAACAAAAAGTTTTTTCTCTAGTCCACTAAAGGTGAGCTGTCCTCAGGGACCAAGGACGATAGGGCCTTCCTTTCAGTTTTCACTTCTACGTAGTAGATAGTACAAGATGTGGTGAATCATACAGTTTGCACACAGAAGCAATGAAGCCACTGCTGCTCATGCTTCATTGGCTAAGACAAACTACATGTTCACATTTTACTTGAAAGAGATGGGGAGGTAGCACCACTGGTAAGGCAGCTTGTATTTTGTAAAGATGAGCAAAGTAAGCCACATACATATCACTTCACAGGCATTTCTGTGATGCAACCTTATCACCCCCACATCAAAGGATAGGGTCTCGTTTCCTTGACCTTGACTCTGGCCTGGGCTTCGTGACTCTCATTAGCAGCAGCACGTGGTAGAAGAGATGTGTAAGAAGGCTGAGGTTAGGTCAGAAAAGGTCCCATACTTGGTTGTTTTGTTTTTGTAGTACTTGCCTTCCAGAAAACTCTCTCAGATGTTCATGCAGAATCAGCAGTCAAACTCTGAGAAGCTCAGACTGAATGGAAAGGTCCCATGTAGGTGCTCTGGCTCATAGTCCCAGCAGACCCCAGCTTTCTGGTCTCCCACCTGAGCACCAGCCTCTTGAATGAAGAAGCCTCTGGATGACTGCAGCTCCCAGTCATTCAAATCAGCTGTACTCAGCTGTATCACCAGCTGAAACCTGGTATTGAGGCATAGAGCCACCTGCTGAATCTTGCCTGAATTCCTGATCCACAAAATCCATAAACATAATAATAATAAAATAGTTCTTGTCTCATGCCATTATATTGGGAGTGGTTTATTTTGCAGGAACAGATTCCTGAAATATGTCTGGAAGGAGAATAGAATTGGAAAAACTAGCAAGTACCACAAACAGATTTGTATATATGCTCATGGACTATCTCTGAGAGCACTAGCAAGAGGAATTAAGTAACTGGCTGGGGGTGAGGATGGGAAGAGGCTTTTCATGCTATAGACACCTTTAGACTCTTCATCTTGTACCATGTGACTTGTTTCTTATTTCTGAAATGGGCAACCTGATCTGGTCACTCCCTCAGCATCCTCCAGTGGCTTCCTGGGGTGGACAGGTCAAGGGTGACCCTACGAGCCCCTCTCCTGGTAATCACACCCTATTGCAGTCACCCCCACCCTTGAGCAGGACCTGGATCTGATGTTGTTACAGAACAACCCCAAAAGAAAGTGGGTGGCCTGGCTGTGAGTCCTCACTCACGTGCTTGAAGAAAACTCAGGACAATACCCAAGGGCAGGCACAGAGAAAAGTTAATAAAAAGGTTGTCTATTGATATAAGGGAAATGAAAAGAGAGAAACCATGCATGTGCACACACATATATACCCACAGACAGAGAAGACATAGAGAAAGAGAGAGGTGAATTGGTCAAACATCCTACTTGTAACACTGTCTGAGCTGGGACCCTGGGTCCATGTCAGAAGCAGGCAAAACCAACCCTGCAGACCCACATGCATTTGGCTTTCTATCAAGCACA